TCATTATTCATTCCCTGGAGTTTCACTTTTAGAAAAAAATTTTTTCTAAAATGTAGGTTAATTTTTTTTTTTTTTTTTTTTTTTTTTCCACCAAACGTGAAATTATGTTCTCGAATATTCTTGATTATAATTTCTTTTCTTCTCTCTGTCTCTTTCTTTCCCCGTTAAATTTTTTAACGATTCTTTTTTTTTTCGTCTCTTTCTTTTCCCTTTAAAAGAAGAAAAAAAGTGGGTTTCGCTTTTGAATAATGCGTAAAATGTGGTTTTTTTCGGGGGGGGGGGGTTCGGGGAGGAGAGAGAGGGGGGAGGAGGGAGGTCTAAATCACCATATGAGTATATATATATAATTATTAAAATTCGGTGTTGAAAAAATTTCTTATTAAAATAACGTTAATAATGTTTCTCGAAAATCTTAATACGAAAAAAAAAAAAACGTTTTTATTTAACCGCACAAAAAGTTAACCGATTTTTAGCCCCTCCCCTTCTCCTTCCCTCCCTCCCCTCGCTTTCCCCCCTCCGGGATTCGAATGTTTTTTTAAAAATTGATTTTCCAGCCGGAAAAAAAAAGAAAATCTTTTGAAAATTTTATTACTGTTATTATTATTATTATTAGGCTCTTTTGTTTATCGAATAGGATTATTTACGGCGAAAGAGAAAAATGATTGATTTGCGTAATGGCGTTAAGAATTTTCCTTTTTGTAACTTTTTATTTCAATTTTTATATTATTAATAATAATAATAATTTAATAGGTGAACAATTTTCTATCTCTCTCTTTCTCTCTCTCTCTCTCTCTCTCTCTCTCTCTTTCTCTTTCTTTCTCTTTCTAGAAATTTCGCCATTGTTGAAAATTTTCCGAATAATCCTAATATATAAGAATAATTCTAGAGTAGTTTAGTTTAAAATTAACTAAAAGAAAAAGATAGAAAAATTAAGATGCTAAAAACTAAAGATAGAAAAAGATAGATAGATAGATGGATGGATGGGAAAACTTTCTTTTAAAGGTTCTCTCTCGTCTTCTTTTGTAGAGATTGACTGGAATTTTGGCATTCGCGCAAACTCCCTTCGTTGGCATTTAGTATATTCTCCAGCTTTCTCTTTTCGAGGCCTTGAAGTACATTCTGGAAAATATACTTGGCCCCCCACTTTAAGTATGTGCGTGTGTGCGTGCGTGTGCGTAATTACAACGTAATTACAATTTTTTTTCAATTCATGCATTCGATTGTTCCGTGTGTGTGTGTGTGTGTAATTCTTCTCGATTTTGAAGGCAACAAGTTTATTTAAGGTTTTCTTTTCTTATTATTATCATTATTATTATTATTATTATTATTATTATTATTTGTTTTTTTATTTTTATTTTTGTACTTGGTGGCGTGCATAACGTTTTACAACCTCGACAAAATGCGATTTTTGCTATTTTTCGTTTTTTTTTTTTAATTTTATTAAATGTCGGAATAAATAATGCGTTTGATATTTTCTGGGGGGAGGGAGGAAGGGAGGGAGAGAGGGAGGGAAAAAGCCACGAAAGATTTGTTTTATTTGTTTATTCCCAACTGAATTATTATAAAATTTATGGGTTAATTTTAGATAATGTATATATATATATATATATATATATATATATATATATATATATTTTTTTGTAAAAGTTCAAATCGAAGTCGAAAATCTTTTTTGATTTTTTTTTTTTTTGCGATTAAAAATAGAAAAGAATTTCGATTTTTAGGTATGAAATAATAATAGGTACGAACGAACGAATAATTATTATTATTATTACGTAACAAGACAGATTTTTTTTTTTTTTTACATAATGAACGAATGTACTCGCGAATGTTGTTTTATTTATTGTAGGAAATTTCTTAGTTTCTCTCTTTCGTTTTTTTAAATTTTTCAACGCGGAAAGATGATGATAATAATAATAATAATTATAATAAATATGTCACGGGGAACGTTACTATCATCATCATTATTTAATTACACATTATTTACGACGATTTGATAATTAAAAAATAATTTTTCAACAAAGAAAAAAAAAAACAAACAAAATTTAATTCGCGACTCGTTGAAAAGAAAAGAAAAGAAAACGGAAAACGAAAATAGAAAATATTGATAATAATGATAGATATTATTTTAAAAAAAAACTACTTTCGATTATTATTATTATTATTATTATTATTATTATTATTATTATTATTATTATTATTATTATTATGCTTACGTAATAAAATGAGGAAATTAATTAATTTTGCAATTGGTACTTTTAATTTCCCAGGTGAAACCGTAATTATTATTATTATTATTATTATTATTATTATTTTTTTTTTTTTTTTTAAATAAATAATTAAAACAATAGCCTAGAGTTACTTTCGATATCTCTGTGCTGTCCTGCATCGAATCGTATTGTTATTATTATTATTATTATTATTATTATTATTATTATTATTATTATTATTATTATTATTTGAAAAAAGAAAATGTGATTGTCGAGTTTAAAAATTTCAA